TTGTTTTATGCACAGTGTACTTTATTGTCAGTTTCATTCAAATTGTTTACAGTTGTATTAACCTTTGCTGTACTTTCCTTTGTTTCTGCATTACAGACATGTTTTTATTGGAAAGAAGACTGAAGATGAAGGTGAGAAAGGGAAATAGCTGAATGCTGAGATTTCTAAAGCAACTTTCCAACGGAATGATGCACATATTTACTGCAAATCAATCTTCCTCTTTTGACTAAATGATTTGTGATACTTTTGTGTGTATTGGTAACCTTTGAAATCTTGGGTAATCACCCGTGATAGTTTTACAGATGTGTACACAAATTTACCACTGAGCATACAGTATATGATTTAAAGTGGTTGTAAAGCTTCAAGGTTTTTTACCTTCATGTATTCAATGCATGAAGGTAAAAAACCTTATGTGTGCAGCAGTGTCCCCAGCTCTCTTAATATTTACATGAGCCCCATCGTGATCCATCGATCTGCACAACATCCCCTGCTGTCCCGGGTCTCTGCCTCCTCATTGGCTGAGACAGCAAGCAGGCTCCCATTGCTGTTAATCACAGTCAGTCAGCCAATGAGGAGAATGGGGGCTGGGCCAAGTTGTGTGAATGAACACATGGAACCTCTGACTGGCTATCACAGTGATCAGTCACTGTGCAGTCCTGCCCCCTTGTTTTTTTTCTCTCTCTATGAATGGAAAAGAGAGATACATTGTATCTCTCTATCTCCTGGCATAGAGAAAAAAAAAATGTTTGTACAAAAGAAAAGATAAATATTAAAAAATCAAATAAAAATAAAGAAAAAATACTTAGATCAAGGTTTGCTCTAGTTCAGTGCCAGGGTTATTGTTTGGGTCAAGGTCAGGGTCAAAGGTCAAGGTAAAAAAAAAAAATCAGGGTCAAAGGTTAGGATTGAAAAAAAATTGGTATCAATGCCAGTGTGAATGTCAGTGTCAGTGTGTTTTAGGTAAAAAAAAAAAAAGACAAAAACAAAATGTGCATTATTGTTTCTGGGCTGTACTGTGGGTACAAATAAGAAATAACATACACATATATGGTATCGCTGCGATCGTCAAGAGCTGTAAAATTTATTTTGGGTTGTTCTTTGGTGGTAGGTTATGGTAGTAACAAGAAACACACAGCTAAATAAAAAAATGATTTTTTTTTTTTTACTATTTTGGGCCAGTTTTCCTTTGATAATAATTAAAAAAAAAAAATCAGGAGATATCCGATACCATTTACCACCAAATGAAAGCCCAATTTGTCCTGAAAAAAAATTGCAGTTAAATTCACCTGGATGTACAAAGTAGTTGTGATGATATGTACGGCTTTACTAACACATGTCAACATTGCAAAATTGTGCTTAGGCATTTAGATTTGTTTTACCCTTAGGCATGAAGGGGTTAATGAATGTTTTAACTCTAAAAAGCAGAACCACCACGTCACAATCACGTACATTAGAAATTGATGCAACTTGGCCCTAATAACTTTAATAGGGTGTATTCAGTGGATGTCCAGCCCACCGAATGTGACGGGGGGTTTAATTATTGTTGTAGCCATACAGCAAATAATCAAAGCTGCAGCTTGTGTATAGCCCAGAGTGACTGCATGTCTGAACAATCCCTTCATTTCTCTCAAAATCTGTGCCATGGTATCATGTACCTGGTAGCAGAGCCTGGTATGATGAGGAAGGCCTCTCTTACACCCCTGGCTCAGGGCCTCTGGTAGTGTAAACAGGAGGCACAGGAGTGCAGAGTGACATGAGTGCCTGTAAGTCCTGCTAGCAGCAGAAAAGGTGTCCATGCTGGGGAGGTGAAGTCCTCAGGGTTCTTCAATAAGGCAGGCAGTTGGGCAGCTGACTGAAGAAAACTGGTACTTGCGACAACAGGTAGATGAGACAGTGGCTGGTAGCAGACTGTAGATTGGCAGGAACAGCAGGGAGGTAGGCAGCTACCAGTGGCAGCAGGCAAAGTAGCAGAGTCAGGCAGACCGGATCATACACAGACAGGATGGATCAGGTAAAAGGCACAGGCGTATACAAGATGGGTCTGGAAGTCAATCAGTGAAGCAAAAGCCAATGGAGCAGACAGAAGAGAAGGTCAGAGGACAAGCCAAGGTCAGTGCAGGCAGAGCTCAGGAGGTAGTCAGGACAATTCAGGTCAGTAACTGGAATCAGAATCCAGGATCACAGGAACACAGAATACACAGGAAGCTGAAGACAAAGCAGCACTGATCCTGAGCACTAGCCCAGTATAAATAGCCCCTTTGGTGCAAGCATCTGTCACAAGTGCATGTGACCACCGGCACGCATGAGTATGCACACGGGTACGAGCACCACTGTCCATGCACATACAGTATGTTCATGAGCATATGCCCAATTTCTGCAAGCATGAGAGGGAACATGTATTAGCCTGTGCACAGAAGTCCATCCAGAAGAGCTATCTTGTCTATTGGCATGCCCTTCCTGACCCATGGCTTATAACTTTGCATTGCTTTACTATTGACAAGATTGACCATTCTCTTTTTGCAAATCCGATTATATTTAAATCTAAAGCAACACTTGCAAACTTGTTTTTTTATGTGTGTGTGTGTGTGTGTATTTATAACCTCTGTGCCCACAGTACTGGATGTTTCTACTGTTTTGGAAACATCATAAATACATTTACAAAGGTTCTTGCAACCATTTACAATTAAAAAACAAATTTACTTAAAAAATTGAATAGAGGAATATTTTACCCATGGCACAGTGCTACTTTGGGGGAGGAGTTTATTAATTAAAGATGCAATGTCATAGTAAATTTGTATTACAGTATTACTTTCCTTATTGTTCATTGCCTTGCTATAGGGAAAATTTTACGAATCTCCAGTATTTTATTAAAAGTGTAAGTAATATTGTATATAAGTATACAGTACGAATTGATCAAAGGCTTGATAGATTGAATAGATTTGATAGATATGATATAAATTAGAATGGTTACCATCAGGGGCGGACTGACAACTCATGGGGCCCCAAGGCAATAGGGGATCATGGGACCCCTGTGTCCTTGCCCACACTCAAAGCACACCCAAAAAAGCCTATAAAAAAGGTACCAGGGGCATTTCATGGGCCCCCTACTGAACCAGGGTCCTCGGGCAGTGCCTGAGTGCTCAAATGGTCAGTCCGCTCCGGGTTACCATTCATCAGTACAACTTGCTTGCTGGATTTGGCGTGTGGACACATTGGATAACTTCAGCTGCCATTGTACTCTTGCTGGGCATCCAGTGTGTCCTTGTGCCTTTAAGGATGAGTGGGCTCCCTCCAGGCAATCTGCCTCTAATTTATCCACTGGTACATGGGATCCAACTTGGAAACTGTTAGTTAGGACCTCAGTATACAGAGAAACCTTGGTGAAGCACTCTGGCTTTCACAAGATTTGCAAATGTGTAACCAACCCTATGAATTGTTAGACAGGGTTGGTTTGTTTTTTTCTTCAGGCTAGCTGGTAACTGTGCTGGCAACTGGGAAATGTTCTGCCGTTTGTGATGTGCAACTGGGGGCCTTCTTCGTTTTAAAGGGAGTTTCAGATCCCCACAACCACCTAGTCATGGTTGTGGGGAAGAGTGTCAGTGCCAAGAACCGGGCTGTCCTGGTCAATTTTTTTACCTGAAAATTATGGTGATTTGCCAGCTCCTAACTGTTCATGTTTAAAGCACCTGCTGTACACACCACCAGTGCCCATGATAGCAAATGCTACCTTAAGTGCTCTTGCTTGACCCAACTTGTATCTGCTCTGTGTATCACTGTGTATGACCCAGGGGTGGACTGACAACTCATGGGGCCCCCGGGCAATAGGGGATCATGGGGCCCCTGCGCCCTTGCCCAAACTCAAAAAAGCCTATGAAAAAGGTACCAGGGGCATCTCATGGGGCACCCTACTGACCCCGGGCCCTCGGGCAGTGCCCAAGTTTCCAAATGGTCAGTCCACCCCTGGTATGACCCATCTTGCTCTGACCTTGCTCTCCTTGCTGTGATTGTGTACTGTTTGGACTCTGATCTATAAATATGTGATGTCTAGACTATGCTTTTGCCTGATCCTCCTCTGTTATCAGACTCTTCATTACTACTTGACCTGGTCTGATCTTCTCCTCGTATGGACCAGTATTTGCTGTTCTACTGACATCTGCAGTGGTGCACAACAAAGACCAGAAATCCTGCTCTGCCTACAGTTTTGCTCTTGGTATGTACTATTTGTTACTGAACTATATTCATATTTTGCATATTTGAACTGGTTCACAGTCACCTATACTTCTGTCCTGCCAAATATAGGAATCCCTGTTAGGTTTTCATGCTTTCTAGGGCTCCTTATAGAGACTTTCCGCCATTTTCTTCCCTTGAATTTATGATTTACCAGACAGGAAGTGAGGGAAGGCCTTCAAAAGAGTACAGACAACATTGCTGTCTGTGTCCCCGTAAGGGAGATTTACACTCTATTTGTCCTGATCACCAATGTCACCACAAATGATAGTAAGAATAAGAATACCTCCTGAATTTGGATTTGTTATCAGAACTGGATTGGTGGTCACAATCACAGCGTAAAGAAATTATTTCACTTCCTGGTATGTCTGCAGAACAGAAATAGAGTTTTTAACCATTATTCTATACAAAAAGGCAAAATTGGCTTTAATTATAAAATACATATCTTTGTTCTAAACACTCTAGAGTGGGCAGAGTCTACTATCCATATACAGCCAGGAAGTACTTATAATAGTAATGTCCAAAAAAAAAAATCTTAACGTCTCATTGACTCATTGCCACTGGTACAGGAATATACAGTATATACTAATATAATATATTATATTAATATATATATAATATACCGTATTTTTCGCTCCATAAGACGCACCTGACCATAAGACGCACCTAAGTTTTAGTGGAGGCAGAGAAAACAGGAAAAAAAAATTCTGAACTAATGGACTGCAGACATAGTACAGGAGATTGACCAGAGACTGCGGACACAGTACAGGAGATGACCAGAGACTGCGGACACAGTACAGGGATGACCAGAGACTGGCGGACACAGTACAGAGAGATGACCAGAGACTGCGGACACAGTACACCAGGAGATTACCAGAGACTGCGGACACAGTACAGGAGATGACCAGAGACTGCGGACACAGTAAACAGGAGATGACCATAGACTGCGGACACAGTACAGGGAGACCAGAGACTGCGGACACAGTACAGGAGATGACCAGAGACGCGCGGAACACAGTACTGGGATACCAAGACTGCGGACAGCACAGGGATTGACCAGAGACCTGCGGACAGTACAGGGAATGTGACCAGAGACTGCGGACAGCACAGTTATGACCAGAGACTGCGGACAGTACAGGTTATGACTGCTGACCTTTGGGGAGGGAGGGGGAGCGGGTACCTGAATTTGACAGGTACCCGCTCCCACTTCCGCGGAGTTGTACCTTTCATCTTACCTGTTCCTCTATCCAGCCGCGCGCTGTCTTCCCGGCTTCTGTAATGGCGCTCGGCATGACAGCCTTTGTGCCCAGTGCGCATGAGCAAGAATAGCACTTGCGCTTTGTGATTTGGTCCGGCGGCTTCTAGGATCTGTCATGTGTCCCAGGTGCCGCCCGCCTTACCATTTCACAAAAAAGCAACCGCTTCCTGCGCATGCGCACTTGGCACCCGACTGTCATGCCCACACTACAGAAGCCGGGAAGACCGCACCGCTGGATAGAAGAACAGGTAAGATGAAAGAACAACTCCACGGAAGAGGGGAGCGGTTATCTGTCAAATTCAGGTACCCGCTCCCCCCCCTCCCCAAAGGTCAGCAGTCATCTCTATAAGGTTCCGCTGTTAGAGCTGAGCGGCTGGCCCGGTATTCTGACACGGCGGCAGTGGAAATACCGTGACCGGCCGCTCTATATTTGCTCCATAAGACGCACTGACATTTTCCCCCCTTTTTTGGGGGGAAAAAAAGTGCGTCTTTATGGTGCGAAAAATACGGTGTATATATATTTATATATATATATTTATTCACAAACACACACACAGTGCATTCAGAAAGTATTCACAGTGCTTAACAATTTGCCACATTTTGTTATGTTATAGCCTTATTCCAAAATGGATTAAATTATTTTTTTTCCTCAAAAACATTATTTATAACACAATACCCCATAATGACAATTATGAAAGAAAGTTTGTTTTGACATTTTTGCAATTTATTAAAAAAAAAAAAAAAAACACATGTACATTAGGTATTCATAGCCTTTGCTCAATACTTTGTTGAAGCACCTTTAGCACCAATTACAGCCTCAAGTCATTTTGAGTATGATGCTACAATACTTTGGCACACCTATTTTTGGGTAATTGCTCCCATTCTTCTTTGCAGTACCTCTCAAGCTCCATCAGATTAAATGGGGAGCGTCAGAGCACAGCAATTTTCAGATTCAATCGGGTTCAAGTGTGGGCTCTGCTGGTCCACTCCAGGACATTCACAGAGGTTGGCCCTATAGCCACTCTTTTGTTATGTGGGCTGGGTGCTTAGGGTCGTTGTCCTGTTAAAAGATGAACCCCAGTCTAAGGTCCAGAACGCTCTGGAACAGGTTTTCATCAAGGTTGTCGATGTACTTTGCTGCATTCATCTTTCCTTCAATCCTGACTAGTCTTAAAGTTCCTGCCCCTGAAAAACATCCCCATAGCATGATGCGTTGCGCCACCACCGTACTTCTACTGTAGAGATGGTATTGGCCAGGTGGTGAGCAGTGCCTGGTTTCCTCCAGACATTGATGCTTGGCATTTCAAGGCAATTAGAGTTCAATCTTTGTTTCATCAGACCAGAGAGTTTTGTTTCTCATAGTCTGAGAGTCCCTCAGGTGCCTTTTGGCAAACTCCAAGCGGGCTGCCATTTGCATCTGAGGAGTGGCTTCTCCAAACTGGCCACACTACCATACAGGCCTGATTGGTGGAGTGCTGCATTTGTCTTTTTCTTCATGGAAGGTTTTCCTCCTCTCTCCACAGAGAAATGCTTGGAGCTCTAAATATTCAGAGTGAGCATCGGATTGCTTGGTTACCTCCTTGGCTAAGACCCTTTTCCCTCGATCACAGGATGCACCAAAGCCCAATTTGGAGTGTCATAGCAAAGTCTGTGAATACTTATGTACATGTGGGTTTTTTATTTTATTTTTTTTAATACATTGCAAAGATTTTCAAAACAAACTTCTTTCATGTTGTCATTATGGGGTATGGTTTTTTAGAATGTTGAGGAAAAAAATTAATTGAATCCATTTTGTAATAAGGCTGTAACATTAAATGTGGCAAAAGTTAACAGCTGTGAATATCTTTCTGGATGCACTGTGTATATTTAGTTTTTAATTATTTTAGTTTTGTTTTATTTTATGTATATATATTTTTTGTATATATATACATTTTGTTAATTTTAGTTTTAGTTTTTTTTTTAAGTATTATTTATTTTAATTAAACGCATAATATAATATATCTTTTTGGGGAAACTGCTTAAACGTGGTAGAGCTTTTAAACGCAAAACAGCATACTCCCTTTTTTTTCAAGCGGCCTTTTTAGCCACTTTTATTTAAATGAAAATGTCCCATAACAATGCTTTCCCTCGCAGTGGTATCCACCAACAAAAACAAAGATTCAGCCTCCTGGCTTACACACAGTTCAATGTCTGTCTCCTGCAGACTCTTCCCAAATTATATAGTCACTAGCACACAGCTAGTCTGGCTTCCACCTGACTCCACAAGGCAGAGACCCATCCCGTCTGCCAGGTGGAGCCCTGCTGACTCTAGCTGCCTTAGGGGTGGAGCCCTGCTGACTCCTAGCTGCCGGGGTGGAGCCCTGCTGACTCCTATCTGCCGGGGTGGAGCCCAGAACCCTGGTCCTGACAAAAAAGCCATGCACACCTCAGTATTTTTTTTATTAATGGCCTTTTTTTTTCCCAATTTTTTGGTTGCACATTTGTGCAATCAGTGTAATGCCCATTCCAAAACCTGGTTTTGGAGATTTGTTTTTTTAGTTACATTTTCCCTCCCAGATCTCTTTGAAATCTCCAAGCTCCAGATCCCCCCAAAACAGACCTTACAAACAAAGGAGAGAGTGAAAAGCCACTTTCCTCCATATCAAACATTTACCCTGGAGCCCCCCTCAACCTGCCTTGTTGAGAATCCAGGTGACAGATCGCCACACTGTCACAATATATATACACATACATATACATACATACATACATTCCGTATTTTTCGCTATATGTTTTTAAGACGCATTTTTTTTTCCCCCCCCCCAAAAAAGGGGGGAAAATGTCAGTGCATCTTATGGAGCGAATATATAAAAGCGGCCGGACCGGTATTTCTGCCTGCCCGCCACCAATGTCAGAATCATCGGGCCCCCCCCCCCCGGGTCCGGCCGCTCAGCTCTTCTCTCCTGCAGGACCGTTATATTTTTTTCCTCTTCCCACGCCGGCTTCTGTGACAGCTGGGTGCCCACTGCGCATGCGCGAGAAGCTCGGCACTTTGTGAATTGTCCGGTGTCTTCTGGGACACATGACAGGTCCCAGAAGGCACTGGGCCATTCATAAAAGCGCAACGCTTCTCGCGCATGAGCAGTGGGCACCAGGCTGTCACAGAAGCCAGCGCAGAAAGAAGAGGGAAGGACAACTCCGCGGAAGCGGGAGTAGGTACCTGTCAAATTCAGGTACCCGCTCCCCCTCCCTCCCCAAAGGTCCGCAGTCTCCCCTGCACTGCCTGCAGTCTCTGGTCATCTGTACTATGTCCCTGGTATTTTCCCTGTACTATGTCCACAGTCTCTGGTCATCTGTACTATGTCCCTGGTATTTTATCTGTACTATGTCCCAGTCTCTGGTCATCTCCTGTACCGTGTCCACAGTCTCTGGTCTCTGTACTATGTCCGCAGTCTCCTGTGTACCACTATGTCCGCAGTCTCTGGTCATCTCCTGTACTGTGTCCGCAGTCTCTGGTCATCTCCTGTACTGTGTCCGCAGTCTCTGGTCATCTCCTGTACTGTGTCCGCAGTCTCTGGTCATCTCCTGTACTGTGTCCGCAGTCTCTGGTCATCTCCTGTACTGTGTCCGCAGTCTCTGGTCATCTCCTGTACTGTGTCCGCAGTCTCTGGTCATCTCCTGTACTGTGACCGCAGTCTCTGGTCATCTCCTGTACTATGTCTGCAGTCCATTGATTCAGAATATTTTTTTCCTTGTTTTCCGCCTCCTAAAACCTAGGTGCGTCTTATGGTCAGGTGCGTCTTATAGAGCGCGAAATACGGTATATATGTATACATATATATATATATATATATACATATACATATATACACACACATATATATATATATATATATATATATATATATATACACACACACACACATACATACATACATACACACACACACACACACACAGAAAAAAGAAGAGAGAGAGAGAGAGCCCTTGAAGCTGGAGGCCTGTAGGAAGGGCTCTAAATCATTTGTTCACATTGACTGGTTGCATCATAAGGCTTTCTGTGAATAGATGAGGGGAGATCATGAGTTTTACCCACCCCTCCTTTCACTTCATCTGTAAGAGTGAACTGGTAAAGGTGTCCCCTGATCACCTTCAAGCATGCACCTCCATAGTATGTTGATTTTTAAAGATCACAAGTTAAAATGTTGCTAAAGTTTCAGTAAATGCTTCTGTTTTCATGCTCTAAATTATTATTTTAAAATCTTTTTATTTACAGATGTTGGTAATATTTTTTTTTTTGCAAAACTGAATTCACCTCCAATTCACTACATCACCTTGTCAAATGCACATAGCTTCTGTGTTACTTAAAGCAATATTACTATTTTTGAATAGTGTGAAAGAAGATGCAAGCTGAACCCCAGCTAGAACATTTAATTCATAGTTATATTGGTGCAGCATGCACCAATGTGGGTAAGCATATGGCATATCTGTTGAACTGCTGTGGAAGCAGATAATTACTGTAATTGTCACTGCCTTTTGGGTCCTGCACTGAGAGGTTGCCCTGCTGCATAGTAACCATAGGGGGTTGCTCACTCTGCATGGAATGCCATTCACAAATGCTGCTCATTTTTCTCAATGAACACAATGTATTCTCTGATTGGACAAGGAGAAGTGTAACTCCCTGTGGTTATTATGTATCAGGGCAGCCACTCAGCATGTGACCCAGAAGAGAACAATAATCACTGTAAGCACAAATTATTATCTATTAGTTGGGATTTATTGGCACAAAATTTACATCTTCATAAAGTGTGTTATATCCACATGAAAAACATACAGTATGTCATATAAAAGAAAAAAACACCAAATGGTTGAATACTTGCACTCCAATAAGCAGGATCTAAGTTCATCTGCTGCCTTTTTTAATTTTTCATCCTCATGACAGTTACGTATTAATCTAAGATACTGTGAATACAGTATTGATCTTATAAGAGGTCGAGGAGGACAGCTATTCACTCTAAGGATGGTGTTTCCCACCATGGCCTTTCATTACACACATCACTCAATAATGTACTGTCTAAAGTGACCTCAATTTCAGCACCTAAAAACATAACTCTTTATGAACATATGACATTGTAAAAAGTAAGGTTATGCCTATTTTAATTTATGAATCTCAAACAGTCTCACAAAAGTTCAATAGAGCCATCCCATATCAGAAAGAGATTATCGAGATAATGCAGTCAGGTCAAGATGTGGTATGAATACATCAATAAATCTTCTGAGAAAAGGAAGGAGCATTCCCACTCCCTCAGGAACAGATTGGCATAGGATGAAAAAACAAGTCCCCAACACTACGTCCTGCCCCTGGAGGAAGTAGGAACCACCAATTGTATATATATTGTGCTGTAAAATGAAAGATAAAACTTCGAGAACAGAATCAAAAAGTGAATCTGAATGTCGTTCACTTTGACAAATGAAGCGTTGTAGCGCTTGTATACCCTTGCAATGTGGAATTGTGTTGGCATTTATTAATAGTACAATTGTGGCATATTATGCTGTGTTATAGAGCACAGTATGTATATTGCATTGTAACTACTGATCACCCATTTGGTGGTTTTCGTTTTATATGACATATGTTTTTCATACGGATATAATAAACTTTGTGAAGATTTTAAATCTAGTTAAACATTGGAATATGTGGCAAAAATCCCAACCAATAGATAAGAACTTGCTTTTATAAATACTGTATGTAAGGGACATGACACTAATGTGGACCAAATTACACTATTGAAATCAATAATCACTGTAGTAGTAGCTACTGCTACAGTGATTTTCCACTTCCATAGCAGTCCCACATGTATGGCATATGTTTACTTATTGTGGTCCAAGCTGGAACAATGTATCTATGCATTAAAATTTATGCCTGGAGTTCAGCTTTAATTTAATGTATCGGGGGTAATGTTATTCTCGCAAGCTAGGTGTAAAACATTCCATTTGTCAACACTAAAATTAATTTGCCACTTAATTACCCCATTGCTATATTTTAATATGTAGATTTTTAATAAATGCACAAATGTTTGTGTCATTTGCAAAAATACCAATATTTTTATCTATTTTTACTCACCACATTATTTTCATCAAATTGGCTCTACTATTCCTAATTTATTATCATCATACTAAGAAACCATTAAGCTAATAAAAAAGGTTGTAGAATTATGTGGAGACTCCCTAAAAATGTATCTGCTGGTTGGCTGCCATATTTTATGATAAAAGCAAGACAATTGTCTGATAATGCATTTCATTTTTCTAGCAACAACTGTCCTCATTCACAATTTAACACAATGTTATGACAAACCATTACATGTAAATGCATAAATACACAAATAAATCAATTTAAGATTAGGAGTGGCAGCACCCCAAGAAATTAAAGTTAAAATAACTTGTTTCCATGTGTTGGATCCGCAAGCATTCAGCATATTCACATTATCTATATGAATAAATTATCATACTAAACCACATATAGCCAGTGCTACAATAATCCTTACCTATAAAAGACTTGAACAAAAAAAGAAAAAAGAAAAGTGAGAAAATAGTTATGAGAAAATTACACTGAAAGTCCACAAAGGGGTTAATAAAACTTTCTAGAAAACATTCTAGAAAACAATGGAGAAGCTGTCGCTAAATCATTGCTATTGTAACTAGGATGCAGTCACTGATTAAAGCTTTGGACCCATTCTGGAGATCACTGGTGTGCTGGTGACATACTTTCCACACCTAGCCAAGTGTCCAAATCTAGGGATTTGTGAACAAAAGTGGAATTTTGAACTAAAGCAGAGAGTTAAAAAAACATCAGTTGTGCTTTTGACTGCTTGTTGTTGCAAGCAGGTTTTTCTCCTTATTTGATAAATTTGCTATTAGTTTTTAAAACACTTTTACTTTTTTTCTCCCTCCTTTTCTGACTTTTTTTTTTTTAAAAAACAGCACTTTTTTCCTTCAGTCTGCTAATTAGGGAAGTGGTTAATTGTGCACAGGTGTATATCAATTTCTACATAGCTCACATTTGAGCCTGCTCATAGTTGATGCTGGCTTGCATTGAATTTGTGAACAAAAGTGTAATTGTGAACTAAAGTGGAGAGTTAAAAACCAGGAGTTGAAAACAAGAGTTAAGACAAGAGTCTTCTAACCTATACATGACATCTTAAATTTCCTATAGGTAATCATATTGTACCAGGGATAATGGGCGCTAGCAAGGTTGAAGGTTTTGCTCAGTGCACTGTGTGCCATATGTATGCAAAAAAATGGTGCAACAGCTCCAGGATGTATACTTCTGAGACAGACGTGAGCAGGTTGCCATTCTAGAAGCTCACATTAGACATCTGGAGGAGCAAGGTGTAACACTGAGGAGAAAAAGACTACCTTGAAAGCAGCCTTCTGCTCCATGAGCAGGTGGTTAATGGGGTTAATGTAAAGGGTGGAGGGGTAAGCCTGGATTATCAGGTAGGAAAATGGGTTAATGTAGCAAGAGGGAGTGGTAGGGGCTCACAGAAAAGGAAGGCCAGTCCTGTGTTTGAACCCCAAAACAAATTTGCCATATTGAGTGAAGATGTGCAGGTGGCAAACACAGAGGTGCCAGCCCTGGATGTCATTGCTACCCCTAGCAGCCAGGAGAGCAGCTCATCTAATAGGGGTGGTGAGGGTAGTGCAGGAAGGCCTAGGCAGTTGGCTGTAATAGAGGATTTTATAACCAGAAGGACTGATAAAATAATTTGTCACCAGGATCGCCTCAACAAAATGGTTTGCTGTCTTCCTGATGCCAGGGTTTGGCATGTGGTGGACTGGGTTGATAAATTACTGGAAGGGGCTGAGCATGACCCAGCTGTATTGGTCGATGTTGGAATCAATGACAGAATACATGGAAGGTGGAGGCTGCTTAAGAATCAATTTAAAGAACTAGGCTGCAAGTTGAAAGAAAGGACCTCCAAGGTGATATTTAAACTAGAGTTGAGGGGGGAGAGTGAACTACTGTAGAATTCATTGGGGCAGACAGGTCAGTTAGGGATCAGACAATAATGGAGGGTGGAATGAAGATAGATGGGGGGAGGGTTATGGCAGGTGATAAGAAGGTTCTCATGTTACAAACAACCATTGGAAATTATAGTACTATTTGTACTACTAAAAAAAGATATGCAAAACAAAAGAGCAAAATGTGATAATTATTATTATACGGTATTTATATAGTGCTAAAAGGTTTGCTCAGCGCTGTACATTATAGTGGGGGACAGAACATGAGACAATACAGTAACAAAACAAAACACGAGGGGGTCGAGGACCCTGCGCTTTCGAGCTTACAATCTTGGAAGTAAAGTGTTTGCCAATGCCAGTAGTCTGACAAGCAAAATAGGTGAATCAGACGCTTTGGTGTGCAAAGAAAAACTATGATTTAATTGGTATTGCTGAATCTTGGCTTCATTCCTCACATGCCTGAGTTAATAATATTCCTATTAATATGCTCTTTGGGAAAGA